CTGTTACTTGGGCCAGGCAGAGGACCAATCCCCAGACTCGGGGGAGCTCCCTGGCCGGAAGATGGGAGTCTCCATGGTGACAGCTGATCTTGGACTGGTCAGTATGATTCGTCAGGGCATCTTGGCGCTGCAGTTGCTCCCCTCAAACTCTAGTGCAGGTCAGTAGAAAGAATGTTGGTGGGATTGGGGAAATAGAATTCAGGAAGGATATTGGGGGAGCATTATTAACAAAGCTAGTTTCCAGGGAATTAATAGGCCCCAGGAGAAAGGGTCTGTTTCCTTGTTTTATATAAGAGTTAAGTGTGTGTGTTAGTGGATATCTCAAGTACCCGCAGCTCTGACAGTCATCGGGGATCCTGGTGGGAAGGAGTAGCATTCCAAGGATATCACTCAGGAAAAGACTGAGATCCAGCACTCAAGAGAAAGAAGCAGGAGGGAAGGAGAAAGGAAAGGTGTTTGAATCTTATAAAACACATTTGTTGGCAGACACCAAGGTCTTCAAGCACTTCATCAGTTGAGTGCCTGGTTTTGACCGGTCAGTGTCCCGGGTCTGAGTCTGATGTTTCCTGCTCCAGGTATCATTGTGATCACAGATGGGGTGACCAGCGTCCCTGATGTTGCTGTCTGTGAGACCTTGCTGAACCAGCTTCGCAGTGGCACTGTGGCGTGTTCCTTTGTACAGGTGAGGACTTTCTAGGATGAAGGAGGAAGAAGTATGGCATCTCACCAAGTGGGATGTGATTAGTTATTTTCTCTGCAGGCGATGATTTCTCCAATAAAACAAATAGCATAATTACTTGTGTGTGGTGGGAAGAGATGCCATGTCTAGAAAGAGGCAGGTGGCAATGGTGGGAGAGGACTCTTGTCTTTGTCCTCTTTCCTTAGGATGTTATAGTAACAGCATGTTAGAGTAAAAAGAATGCAGAATTTGGCAGTCAACTCCAGTCCCATAGATTAGTTACTACTGTTTTGTTTGTCAGGGTCAGAAAACCCAGCTCTAACAAGCTTAGGAGGAAAGTGGTATATTCAGGGAACTACAGTCGATTTGGATTGATGTACTGTGGGGCAGGGGCAAAGAGTTATGGGAAACAAGGCTGGAGGCCAGAGCATGAAAAGCTGGTTCTGTATTGAGTGTCAGCATAATTCTGTGGGTGACACAGATAAATAGAAGGAAAGTCACTAGTTGGGTTTGTGTTTTAGTAAGGTCACTCTTGATGCAGGTAAAGGGTAGGGATAGAGGAAAGACCACTATTAATTGCAGTGGTCAGGTGAAAGAGGCTTGGGGCTTAAGTTAGGAGAATGTAGGGTAGGAGAGAAGAGGATAGGATTGAGAAAATGAAAAGGTAGAATCAACATGACATGATTAGCAAGTGGTAAGGGATCAGGGACAAAGAAGTTAAGGATACCTTCAATGTACTGACTTCAGTGATGACTGGGTAGCTGGCAGAGCAAACGCAGAGAAGCAGTTGGGGTATAGTGAGGACAAGATGATGAATCCAGGTTTGAGCATGCTGCATTTGATGGGTCACCAGGATGGCCTTTGGAGTTAGGCATGCCTGGCCTGAATCCTGACTCCACTTACTAGCCTTGTGACCCTGGGCACAACACTTCTTGGTTGGATTTATTTGTAAATAGAGATTATAATAGTACCTTCCTCATTGGATGAGAGAATGCATTTAAAGTGCTTAATGTAAAATAATAATAAAATGCATAATGTAGTACATTATCTATCTATATAAAAGCCAAGGGGCCATTCAACCAGTAGCTATGAAACACAATGACCACCAGGGGACAGACACTCCAACTGGTAGCTATGACGCACACTGACCACCAGGGGGCAGCCACTCGATGCAGGAGCTGCTGAGCTGCCATGACTTGGCAGCTGCTGTTCTTGGGTAAAGCACCCAGAACCAGAAAAGAGGAAGACCAATTCCAGGGTTTATCACAAAGACTACATAAGAACTACCCTCTTGCAATCCAGGACCCCTTGGGGGATGTCTGAGAGCCAGTTTCACCCGATCCCCACAGGCCAAACTAAGGTACCCCACTGGTTGTGCACTAGGCCTCTAGTTACTTAATAATGGCTGCTACTCATAGCAGTTAGCAGTTGGATATGCATATCTGATACTCAGGAGACTGCACTATTTGAGAGAGAGTGAAGAACCTGAGGAAACACTAATGTTTAAAGGTCTTCCGAAGGTAGAGGGCTAAGCTTACAACGAAGGGAAAAAATCAGGTGAGAACCAGGAGATTCTAGTGTAATAGAATTTAGAGTTTTGGGAAGAAGGGAGTAGTTAACAGTGTGAGATGCAGCAGAAAGATTATGTAATATGAGAAATGAAAAGTGCCTTTTGGACTTGGTGATTAGGAAGTCACGGGGATCTTTTTCAGGCCATTTCAGTGAAGAGATATTGAGGGAAATGATTGCAATAGGTTGAAGAGTGGATAGACTAGAAGGAAGTAGGGACAAGTGTTGACACAAAGAATTTGGCTATTGGAATCAAGTGGGGAGTGAGAATAGCCAGAGGGAAGTGCAGGTTGGAAGGAGAGGGGTGTTTGACTATTTTGTTTTGTTTGCTTTTTAAGCTAGAGGCTTAAGCATGTTTCTAAGGATCCATGGTGAAACAGAGCTTGAAACTAAAGGAAAGAAAAGCAAGCCTGATAGAGTAAGACCCTAAATTGGCATGAGGACCATTGACTTAAGAAACATTTGAGGAGAAGGAGAAGGTCAAGTCTTTCTTTGAGAGCAGAAGGATAGAAGTGAAGACATAGATAAATTCTACCAAGGGCCTGTGATTTCTCTGAAGTAGAAGGTGAAGATGAGTACTGTAAGGGAAAGGAGGCCAGCATTGAAGGACTAGCTGGGTTGGGTGTCATATGTTTTGAAGTGGTATCAACTGACCCAAATATGTGTTTTTCTCCATTTGGGGTCCATTGGCATCCAATTTAGGGCTATACACTGAGTGGCCAGATTGTTATGATCTCTGAACGCATAATAATCTGACCACTCGGGGTGTGTGTGTGTGTGTGTGTGTGTGTGTGTGTTAGAGGCCCAGTGCATGAATTCGTGCATGGGTAGGGTCTGGCCAGCCTGGCCAGGGGGAAGGGATATGGGCAGTTGGCCGGCCTGCCTGCTGGTCGAACTCCTGGTCGAGGGGACAATTTGCATATTAGCCTTTTATTATATAGGATAGACAATGAGTGGCCAGATTATTATGCATTCAGAGATCATGTTGATGAATTTGCTTGAACATAGGGACCCGACTGGGTTGAGAAAGGATGAGGAGGCTGGTGATACACTTGGAGAGAGCAGAGATTCAAGGCCTGGCAGTCTTAATAAGGTCAGAGAGCAGCAGGAGAAGGAGGATGGAAGATAAAGGGATAAGATTATACCCTGCCGGCATTGTTCAGTGGATTAGTGTTGACCTATGAGCCAGAAGGTCATGATTTGATTCCCAGTTAGGTCACATGTCAGGGTTGCAGGTTCGATCCCCAGTGTGGGGCATGCAGGAGGCAGCCAGTCAATGATTTTCTTTCATTATTGATGTTTCTATCTCTCTCTCCCTTCCATGAAAATATATATTTTTTAAATATATTTTATTAATTTTTTACAGAGAGGAAGAGAGAGGGATAGAGAGTTAGAAACATCGATGAGAGAGACATCAATCAGCTGCCTCTTGCACACCGCCTACTGGGGATGTGCCCGCAACCAAGGTACATGCCCTTGACCAGAATCAAACCCAGGACCTTTCAGTCCGCAGGCTGATGCTCTATCCACTGAGCCAAACCGGTTTCGGCGAAAATATTTTTTTTTTAAAACAAAGTATGGTCTAGCAGCATTGTCTACCTAGCAGCATTGGCATCATCAGCGAGCTTGTTAGAAATGCAGACTCTCAGGCCCCACCTCAGACCTACTGCATTTTAATAAAGTCATCGGGTATTTTATATGCACCCTAAAGTTTAAGGATCACTTTGTTAGACATCGAAGTCTCTCAAGATGGTGACAGAAAGTCAATGAGCCAGTAGCCAAAATCTTTAACGAATGGGGGCAAGCTGGTATTTGAGGAAGAATGGTGTGACCAGATGGCACAGGCTTCAGGCAGGAGGGCTCAGGGGAGGAAAGTAACAGTGGTCTGTCCTGAGAGAACACTGGCCCACTTTCCTCACTGTGGGCCTAGGGACGGGAGCAGCCACCAACCCATTCTCTTCCACTCTTACACTTCATTCCCTGGTGCCTCTTTTTGAGCGAGATCTCCAATTACTCTCTCCAGGTGGGCGGAGTTTACTCCTATGACTGCAGTTTTGGCCACGTGCCCAATGTGGAATTGATGAAGTTCATCGCCATGGCAACATTTGGCTCTTACCTATCCACTTGTCCGGAGCCTGAGCCAAGCAACCTGGGTCTGACTGTCTACCACCGGGCGTTTCTCCTCTACTCCTTCCTGCGCAGCGGGGAAGCCCTGAACCCCGAATATTACTGCGGTGAGCGGCCGACTGGGGCCGGTGCGGGCATGGGGAAGTGTAAGATGGGCCCAGATGATACGGGACTCTTATCTAGGGTTTGGGTTTGGGGGAACTGAAGATATAACTGGGGCCGAAACTGGTTTGGCTTAGTGGATAGAGCACCGGCATGCGAACCGAAAGGTCCCAGGTTCGATTCTGGTCAAGGGCATGTACCTTGGTTGCGGGCACATCCCCAGTAGGGGGTGTGCAAGAGGCAGCTGATCGATGATTCTCTCTCATTGATGTTTCTAACTCTCTATCCCTCTCTCCTCCTCTCTGTAAAAAGTCAATAAAATATATTTAAAAAGAAAATATAACTGGGGCTAACTACTCTGGTCCTGTTCTCTCCTCATGATTTCAGCATAGTCCCTCCCCCATATCTCTCTCCACTAACAGGTAACCACTGTACCCTTCTTCATCCTCACTAGGCTCTCAGCACCGACTGTTTAATGAGCACTTGGTCTCTGCCAGCAGCAACCCTGCCTTGGCCCTTCGACGGAAGAAGCACACGGAGAAGGAGGTGCCAGCCGACCTGGTCAGCACCGTGTCTGTGCGGCTTCGAGAGGGCTACAGTGTCCGAGAGGTCACCCTAGCCAAAGGTAGGTGTTACTAGGCCCTGCCGTATCCCACAGGTTTCTCAGACTTTGAGTATGAGAAGACCTGCCAAACAAAGCAGAGGACACACCTGTCACACACGGAAGTGTCACATGAAAGATTCTGCTGGTCACTGAAGACAGGTGGGTTTGGAACTGCCTTCAGGGCTTGGTTCTCTTAACGTTTATCTGCCCGGCTCCATCTCCTTTTGCCTCAGGCGAGTCACCTGAGCGTGGTGTGATAGCCTGGATCTGGTTCTGTTTCAGATTACTGCAGGGTTTTGTTTGTGTCAGTTGGCAGGCCGTGGGGCCTGAAATGATGGAACCGGGCTTGGAACCTTTGTCCAGGCAAGAGTTCCGTGAGGTAGTGGGGAGTTTCAGACAGGAAGCAGTCCCGGCCCGGCGTCCTAACTAGCCCTCTTGCTTCCCCGGCAGGGGGGTCCCAGCTGGAGGTGAAGCTGGTGCTCCTGTGGAAACACAACATGCGCATTGAGTATGTGGCCGTGGCGCCCTGGCCCCTGGAGCCTGAGGGCCCTCGAGGAACGCGGGTGGAGGTCACAATGGAAGGTGGCTATGACATTTTACACGATGTGTCCTGTGCGCTGCGGCAACCCATTCGCTCGCTGTATCGCACCCACGTTATTCGGCGGTTCTGGAACACGCTGCAGAGGTGAGTGAGGTCATTGCACCGTGAGTGACGCCCTATCCGCTGCCTGGAGGGGAAGGTGTGTGAACTTGAGGGGTGACAAGAGACACCCTGAGCACCAGGCTTGTGTCCAGGGTCCCCTGCCCCTAGGGGCTCCCCTCTGTACCCACCGGAGTCACTTGTGGCTCAGGATTGGCCCTTGTCCTGCAGCATTAACCAGACGGACCAGATGCTGGCCCACCTCCAGTCCTTCTCCTCAGTCCCAGAACACTTCACGCTTCCGGACAGCACCAAGAGCGGAGTGCCACTCTTCTACATCCCTCCTGGCTCCACCACCCCGGTGAGTGCCTCTGATCTCATTACCCCCATGTTGTGCCCACCCGCTCAAGTCCGAGGCACCCAAACCCAAACCGGTTAAACTAGAAAACGATTCTTCCTCCTTTCAAGCCCCTGGGGAAGGAGAAGGAGCTGTAGAGAGAGGCTGGCTGCCTAGGTGGTGGTGTGCCAGCGACTGCGAGCCCTCTTGCCCCCCTCCATCTGGCATGCTCTGGCCTCCCCCTGCCACCGTCACCCATTTCCCACCATTAACAACTACCATCACTGTGCACTTTCTGAAGACCACACCTTCTTTGTCCTGTGCTTTCCTCACACTCGGCCCCTGGGTGTCAGCCTGACATGGCCAGGCCAGGAGGCTTGTGCTAGTGAGCAATTGCTTCATCTCAAGTCCTGCCAACACTCAGTAGCTTTGCCGAAACCGGTTTGGCTCAGTGGATTGAGCATCGGTCTGCGGACTGAAAGGTCCCAGGTTCGATTCTGGTCAAGGGCATGTACATTGGTTGTGGGCACATCCCCAGTAGGGGGTGTGCAGGAGGCAGCTGTTCGATGTTTCTCTCTCATCGATGTTTCTAACTCTCTATCCTTCCTCTCTGTAAAAAAAAATCAATTAAAAATATATTTTAAAAAAACACACACAAAAAAAAAACCACTCAGTAGCTTTGCTGTAGAGTCGGTGAGAGAAGCGTGGCAGGACTCATCCTTTGCCTGAAATTAGCTTTAAAAGGCTCCATAGGCTGAACCTGGGCTCATTCATCCTAATCTGGCTTTCACATTAGAGGCAGTTTTTACATCCAGCCCAGGCTGGGTTGTGATTTCCCTTAGCCTTAAACCACTGCTATCTCTGACCCTCTGAACTCCATGGTTCTGGGCACTGGTTTTCTGTGAATACTCATGTAGGGCTGTCCTTCCCACCCCCAGGTGCTCTCCCTTCAACACAGCGGGACCGACTCATCCCATGCGCAGTTTGCTGCCTACTGGAAGCCAGTGCTGTCCATGGATGCAAATTCCTGGCAGCGTTGGCTGCATATGCATCGCCTAGTGTTAATCCTGGAGCATGACACGTAAGTGTACTCTTAGGACCGTAGCTGGGATGGAGGAGCGGGGTGAGGAAATAGGGAAGATGGGGAAGGGGAGCCGCAGATGAGCCCTTATCAACCGAGGCCAAGAAAAACTGTGGCCTTTTCTTGCTGCTCATTAGCCCCCATATACTCAAATAGGTCCTAGAGCTGGGGGGTCTGACCTCAATGCTGACTTCTCTCCCCAGACCAATCCCCAAGCATTTGCACACCCCGGGCAGCAACGGGCGCTACAGCACTGTCCAGTGCAGGATCTCACACTCCTCGCTGACCTCTCTGCTTCGGGACTGGAGCAGCTTCGTGCTAGTTGAGGGCTATTCCTACGTGAAGCTGCTCTCCAGGTGGGAAAAGTGATGTCCCTCCCCTGCCATCTTAACTCGTGTCTCTTCCTCTAACCCCAGACTACATCCTACTTCCTCCTAAACACATTTACAGCCAACCTAGGGCTGCTCACTGACTCCCATTTCTCCCCAGTGCCCCAGACCAGCCCCCCTCCTCCTTCTACATGGTCCGCATCATTTCCAAGGCCCCATGCATGGTTCTTCGCTTGGGTTTTCCCATCGGCACACCAGCACAGGCCAGGCACAAGGTGAGCTGGGCCCACGGAGCCTGGTGTGTAGACTGGCTCCTTCTCCCCAAACCCACAGGGCCGGGGTGTAGAGAGAGGAACCCCCAGATTAAGTAAGGTTCTCTCACCTTGTCTGTGGGCCCCTTCTACCAGATTTGTAGGATTTGGGAGTAGGAGAATTTAATTGCATTTTTTTCTCAGATTGTGTCAGGCTTGCAGGAAGAGATCCTACGGCTGCGTTTCCCCCACCGAGTGCAAAGTAAGGAACCAACACCCAAGGTGAAACGAAAAGGGCTGGGGGGCGTAGGTGGGGGCAACTCTCCCTCCAAGTCCTCCCCCTTGCTGGGGCCGCAGCAGGCCCTCTCTGACCGGCCCTGCCTCGTGGTCCTGCATAAGCCACTGGACAAACTACTTATCAGGTTGGTACCGAGGGTGGGGTTGGGGCCGGAATACATGGGAAGGCTGTGGCTTAGCTGGGTATATGCAGCAATCGACTGAGAGTTGCCCCTTCTTCCCAGGTATGAGAAGCTGCCCCTGGACTACCGGGCACCCTTCTTGCTGACACTGGAGCCACCGGGCCCCCTGCCCTTGGTGTCAGGCCGCTCAGCCTCTTCCAGCCTAGCATCGCTGTCCCGCTACCTCTACCATCAGCGCTGGCTCTGGAGCGTCCCGTCAGGACTGGCCCCCGCACTGCCACTCAGTGCCATTGCCCAGCTCCTCTCCATCCTCACTGAGTATGTCACCTGAACCTGCCAGACAACTGGGGCAAGGGAGAGAGCCAGTGTAGACTCTGGGTTAGGACACTGGCAGAAAGTCTACACCAGACACTGCCCATCTCTAAGCCTCATAATAGCTGCCTCTGCTGTTGTGCAAAGTATCCAGCACAGAGCAGAGCTTGCTACTGTCCTCCCTTCTCCCTCTCGCCTCCACTCTTCTTAGTTAGGCCTCTGGTCCTAATGGGACTTGTTACATTAGAAGGACCACTAGTGTCAGAAAGGCCACCCGCACTGAAGTCTACCTAGTTGGCTGCTGGAAAATGGGTGCATAAGTGGCATGGGGTCAGGATATATGTTCTGACTGTGTCTCCCCATCTCATCTCGTCCTGCCCCCACCTTTATGGGGCTTCAGAGTCCGACTCTCTGAAGGGTTCCACTTCGCCTGCAGCGGGGAAGGAATCATCAACATGGTGCTGGAGCTTCCCATTCAGGTTGGTGCTGCCCTCATCACACCTCCCACCAAGGCTTATCAGCATCCCAGCGGCCCTGACCTCTGAGCTGAGTTGGGACTGCTGGACCGGACCTGAGGCCAGTCCGGGACTAAAGTTCTGAGGGACAGAGCTGGGTGGGTCCAGAGCTCTGTCTTGGCTGGGGTTTACCCCAGGATCTCCCATCCTATCTACCCTCAGAACGAGCCTCCGGGGCAGGCTGCAGTGCAAGAGAGGCACACATGTGTTGTCCAGTACATCCTCTTTCCCCCACACTCCACCTCCACCAAGGACAGGTGAGACCTGGCCCCTCAGAGGGTTACCTCTCTCCATATTCCTCCTCCCTTCTGTACCATGAAGTTCTGCCTCCCATACCTGAGGGAGTTGGGGCAGAGGGTGCTGTTTTAGATGCTTCGTCAGGCAGGTGCAGGTCTGGTAAGACCACATGTCACTTGTGTCTGCCCTGTGTTTCCCCCACCTTCCTGCCCTCCGTAGACTGACTCCAGCCATGGGGTTGTGGTTGGACTCTCCTCAGTCACAGGCTAAGGCCCCTTCCTCCTCTAGTTTCTCAACAGATGATGACAACGATGTGGAGGTGGAGGCCCTGGAGGGAGACTCAGAGCTCAATCTGGTCACTGAGGTGTGGGTGGAGCCTCAGTGTGGGCGAGTGGGACCTGGCCCTGATTGCTGGAAGCATCTCCAGGACTTGACATACTCTGAGATCCCGAGAGCTGTGAGTGACCTCAGCAATACCCTTATAGGTGGGGCTTTGTAATCCCTCTGAATCTCTGTTCTGAGTGGCTGACTGTGGGCTTCCTTGGGAGCTGGAGGCCCAGGTCTCTGGGACTATCGGGGCTTGCCCTGACCTCTGTTATTCCTCCCCCAGCTCCACCCTCGGGATGCTGCCTGCATAGGCTCGATGCTGAGCTTTGAATACCTGATACAGCTGTGCCAGAGCAAGGAATGGGGTCCCCTGCCCCCAGAGCCGAAGGTCTCTGATGGTAGGTAGGGAAGGGGCTCCTGAGAGGAGTGAGTAGAATGAAGGCAGCAACAGACAGAAAATCTGGTCTCAGTGTGGGTCT